CAGGATTTATGTCATCAACCGTAGTAAAGGCTCTAGGGGGGTGTAGGGTTTTGTACGAACCCGGGCTTGGACGTGTATATTGTTGCGCTCTGCTTGCTTTAGGTATCGTGGCATTGCGCCGATCGCAAAGAGGATCCAGAGATCCCAATACGCCTTTGCGTGAACAGGCGGCAAGTCTCAAGAATCCCTGTATGATGGTAAGATGTTCTCAGCCCCCTAAACCCTAAACTCAAATTTGCAAGAAGGGAGCCTGAGTTTCGGACCAGGACCAGGAGAACTTCTGTCCACTCACCATCGCCGTCGACAATTCGCCCTGCTTCAACAGCCACTCGAATCAGACAGAGCAGGTTCGATGTGAGCTTAGGGTTGTGGTTTGAGGCTGGACCATCAAATTGAGCTGAGTATATTCAGGACCTCCAAACCTAGCTTAGCCTGATCTCTCCCAAATCCCCAAAGCCTAAGCGCGCTGAAATCGTCGCCCTGAATGCTCTGCAGCTGCCAAGGCAACTGCCAGAAGTACGACACCGTGCAGGAGCGCAACGATTGCCGTACCCTTGCCAGAAGCTACTGTGCAACAAGGCAAGGCCATTGGGACGGATGTTCTGACTTCTTCTTGAGAACCTTGTTGAAATCTAGCAAGAAAGATATGCGCCGTTTGCTAAGTACCTTAGTACACATCTTTAGCGAGGTCTAATATAGGCCTAAATAATTGCCCATACTNNTTTTTTGGGGGGGGGTCCTTTTTATAGTTATAGCATACTTGGCCCCCAAACCCTATTATAATTATTAAGGCCCTGATATTAGTGTTTTGTGAGTTTCGGTTGCAGGCTCTTGGGCTCAACTCAAGCAGGCTGGTTGATCAAAGCTTGCAGTTTGAAATCACCTTGGCTTAGAAACCAAACCTGAAGGACTGCCTAATGTAGGGGCCTTAATGATTTCAATAGGGTTTTGGGGTGCTTTATATTATAATTATAGTAAGGCGTTAGGTCTCCTCATGAAGGCCAGACTATACTAGAATCTCAGAAGCTCTTTCAAAGTGTCAAGGCCTCTATATTCGACAGTTTTCTGGCAAGGGTTCAAGAAGCCGCAACTGTGCCCACCCAAGCATCGAAAAGCAAGTAGTTTGACGACAGGACCAATGACATATGAAGAAGAACCAGCGTGACCTTTCTGAGGCGTTCAGATCTTCGAATATCTTGAATGGGCCACTATGGCCCACACTGGGGTCCTTGCTACTTAGACTTACACTCTAAACCGGAAGCCAAATCTTTATAGGAGGAGGCGAAGAACTCTCCAAAAGGAAGCGACATCTAACGACAAAGACGAGCCCTGTGCCAGTTGCCCGGATCCGCGCAACATGGACACCTGCAAGGACTCAGGGACATTCTACGCCTCTCGTACCCTGAGGAGAAGCCACAACAACCCTAAATCCGACCGCCCCAAACCATGGGGTTTAGGGTTTATAGGGGTTTGGGGTTTAGGGGTTTGGGGTTTAGGGGTTTGGGGTTTAGGGGTTTAGGGTTTAGGGATTTGGGGTTTAGGGTTTAGGGCCCCTGAAGAAAAACTTGCTCCTTACGCCGAAGCTCTGCGCACGACAGGCATGTTGATTTTTTGTTGCCTGGCCAGCGCAATTCAGCTTCATACCTGCAGACCCATAAGCGTAGTTCTAATCCTCGTATCCAAGCCCGCATGAACCTGGTATGTATGTATGTATGTATGTATGTATGTATGTATGTATGTATGTATGTATGTATGTATATATACATACATACATGTGTGTGATATTAATTTTGGAAGCCTTCAGGGAACCCTTACGGGAATCCTCAAAGGAACCCTACTGCTACCCTTAAGTTCCCTAAACCCTAAACCCTAAAACTGAAACCTCAAGCCCTAAACCCTAAACCCTAAACCTTAAACCCTAAACCCTACGCCGTAAACCTTAGACCCTACACCCGACTACTACCCCTGAGCTATTCGAGCATAGAATCTTCATGGAACACTTAAAGGAACCCCTAAAGGAACCCTTAAAGGAACCCTAATGCAGTTAACTAATGCCACCCCTGAGCTCTTCGAGAGGATCGGGGCTGCTTGACCCTGGGATCTTTCGAGGCCGTGGAAGCGGAGAACCAACTGAACACGGAAGCTCGGCCCCTGGTGGCTTACTAACCCCAAGGGTCCTTTTTGGACCCAATAACCAGGTACTTAGGTTTCGGATAGTAGTTATGTAGGTTACTATTTGGAAGAGTTTGTACTGGTGCTTAGTAGGGAATGGGGGAATGGGTTGTAGGGAACCCTAAACCCTAAACCCTAAACCCTACTATAAGGGACCTGAAGAGTTTATCATAGGGGTCCATTCCCAAATTCCCTACTAAGCACCAGACGGCGGTGGTTTACTAGATGGAATAAGCCTTATGCAACGTTCAGGATGTAGGGCTTAGGGAGGGGAATACACCTTATGCAGTAATCCCACGGATGATGGGGTGTAGGATGTAGAGTGGGCATTGTGTAACATGTAACATTAGGCTTAGGGTTTAGGCTTTAGGGAAGGGCATGCACCAAGTATAATATGGGACGAGGGGTTTGGGGTGCAAGGCCTTTGAGGCTTCGGAGATTAAGTGCAAGGGCTTACATGCAGTAAACCTGACAGCCTAGAACCTTCGACCTCAAAGCAAGACTTAGGCCTCAAACCCTAAGCCTAAAGGCTTAGCCCGTAATCCGCAAACCCTAGCCTTAAACTCCCAAGCCCTTCATGAATCCAAAACCCAAACCGAAGCCCTTAGCTTCCTACGCCCTTCAAGCCCAAAACTTTAAACTTCCTCCAAAAAACAGATTCAAGCCCTCCGCATGATAAGATGCCCGAAAACCCTATTCGAATCATCAAGGCGTCCGATACCCTGAGCCCTAAACCTTAAGTCCGTCAGCAAGAAAGGATCCAAACGAGACGGGGCAGGCACCTGAAAGCGCGTTCGAGCTCCTCGCCAGGGTCGGTTTAGGGTTTGGGGTTCAGGGGTCGGCTCTGATAGATGTGGGGATTATGGTTTCGGGGGGGTACATAATAGTATAACTACATGGGGACCAGAAGGGGATATGGCTGCTAACTATTTCGACGACTTCGTTAAAGGGCCTATATAAGCTATAGGGTGAGAGAAAGGTTATTGTAGGGGCTTTTGCATGGGTGGTTTCTCAAAATCAAGGATTCTAGGGGTCCGTGCAACAATGATCCGATCGCCTGATTCTCTCAGCAGTTTGGTTGCGACTGCTAGGGTTTGATGTTTGCTGTCGGTGATCCCTTGCTTGAGCTCTCGGGCACCTTCTGATCTGTGCCAAGTTCTGGTTTGTTAGTCTCGTGAACCCCAGGAAGTTGGAGCATCATTATCCTCATGCCCTTAGAGTGAAGTATAAGGCATCCCAGCACTAATCATCCTAACTCCATGTTCCAACTTTCTGGGATTCACTCTATTGGGGACTAACTACGGTTGTCTTTTGTAGCTCTTACCTCTCAAGTGCAGGAGCAATGATCGCTCATGAGGGATCCTTGATTGAATCCGGTTTGGGGCTTGTTGGGTTCTGGTTAAGGGATTTAATGTAAGTTACCACAATACAGAAACCATAATATTTACTATAGATCCCTATTATGGTAACTTAAATTCAACTCCTGAACAAGAACCCAGCTTAGGTTGTATGGCTTAGGAGTACATTTAGAATGATGGTGCTTTTGCTGTAAGATGCAATGTGATTGATTTGGAACTGCGTGGACAAGTTGAACTGCCTGATGTGTGTTGCGTCTGCTTGTATATGCACGCAGAACATCGAAGACGAAAGCCACCTATAGACTGTACAGGATAACCCAGCCCCCGGTAAACCCTAAACCCCTCAACCCCTAAACCCCTAAACCATTAACCGCTAAACCCCTTAACTCCTAAACCGAAATCGCTTCCAGGTTCCAGCCCACCAAGATCAAGACGATGGTCGGTGGTTTAGCAACGTGACTGAGATGCGGGGGTTTCGGGTTTAGGTTTTAGGGGTTATAGGGTTTAGGGTTTCTAGGAATTAGGGTATGGGGTGAAGTGTGAAGAGCCCAGGAGTCTTTGGGGTAGAGCCTTAGGGCCAAAGATCAAGTCCGGTTCCGTGCAGACCAAGCTCCAGGAGCGGAGCCCGAGCTGGAACTAGCTCTGGACAGGAAGAGTGCTTGGGAGCAGGCTCTTTGTGGGAGCGACGGATGTCCTAGCAAGCTTTGAGATATGCGCCATGCCACGAAAGCCTATTCTGAATACATTGCCCAGCCTGCCTAAAACCCGGATCTAGAATTTTGGGGTCACACACCTAAACTACCTAAATGCTATATTGACTCGAGCAAGGTTCCTAGAACCCAAAACAGACAGGCCAAGAGTTCGGATCGTTGTTCCATCGTCCAGAAAGCGCCCGGAACCCTGAAACCTAAAACCAATCCACCCTGAAACTCTCCACCCAGACGAAACCTCTAGGGTTTAGGGTTTCGGGTTTACCTGAACCCCAAACCCTGAGGTCTTGGACGACACCCAGCAGTACGTAGGCGGCAAGCACCTTTCGGGCTTCTTCGCTCTCAACAAAGCTGCTCCTTGCCCATAAATCTACCAGAACCCCAAAAGTCTGAAGAATTGGGTAAGTTGGGTAGTTTTCTAAATTAGAGGCCCTTTTAGGGTCCTTTTTTATAAGGGTGCCGTAGTATATTGGGGACCCAAAAAGGGACCCCCTAATTTGGAGAACTACCCATTTAGTGTTCTTCTGGATGATCAGATTGTTGGCATAATTTTCCCCAAAGCCCATGTATAATCCCTTACAAAGAGCCCTGCAAAGAAGCTCTTATTCAGTTATGCTGTACTGTCGAGAAGAGCACATGCGAGTGCTTCTGGTATCTCTGCGCATCTTAGAGAGCCCTGAAAAGCCCTCAAAGGAACCCCAACCCCACTGCCACACCCTGTGGGCTTTGGCGTATAGGGCGTGGGGTACTAGGCTTCGTTTGGGCTTAGGAGGGCAGGCAATCTCGAGCTTTTCAGGCGGGGGGGATGGATGTACGTGTGTATGTATGCATGCATGTATGCATGGATGGATGGAAGTATATAGATTTCTACCTAAGCCCTAAACCTAAACTCCTGTTCGTATGTGTGCATGTGAGGGCAGGCAAGTGTGTGAATATGCGTATATGTATGTATGTGTATGTATGTGTATGTAGATGTATATGATGTTCATGTATATGTATGTACATGCACCGGTATTCATGTGCAGGTGTGTATGCAGAAGTATATATAGATATGTAGGTGCAGATGTATGTATCATGTAAATTCCGACCTTAGCGCAGTGGTGACACTGTCTTGGGCCAGGAAACTCAGCAACCTCAACGCAAAACTAAACGAAAATCTTGCATCCTCACCCTTTACGCCCCTCAGCCCGAAAGCCCTTAAGCCCTATACCGTAGTAGAACCTCTATCCCTTACCCTCAAAGGACTCATATTTCAAGGCTTTTGGGCCCAAAGACTATTATATGAGGCTTTTGGGCGATTTCGATGCTAAGGGTATAGTATCTTTTGCAGCCCCTGAAGCGGAGCCCCTATTAAAGCACTCTTTCGCCCAGGAGCTGTTCTGCCCCTCGCAGGGAGTTGGAGACCCCGTGGCCGACGAGTGGGAACGCCGTGCACTCTGCTTGTGCCTCGCCTTTCCTTACACAGCTGAACATAAGCAAGCATGTGTATACATATATATATATAGTAATGCATAGATATGGATAAAATTAGATATAAATCTAGATATAGGGGGTTGCAGAACATGTAGCTGAACATACATACAGATAGATGTATACACAAACATCTACATATTGCACTTAGGTTCTTCGATGGATAGGTAGGTTCTTAAGGTCCGACTCCTTCTGCAAAGAGAGAAGTCAACAGAATTCGCCGGTTCCCTGACATCCAGGTTTTCGATTCATCAAATCCGTGGTTTGGACATCCTTTAGGAGTGCCTTCGGGACGCTGAAATGTTGCCCTGTTTAGGTTATAGTATAGGGGCCTAAATAATTACCAATATTATTTTTGGGGTTCCTTATTATAAATGTAGTACTGTATAAGGGGCCCCAAAACCCTATTCGAAATATCAAGGCCCCTATATTACTCACACCCTAAACCCTAAAGCCTGAAACCCTTCAACACTAAAGCCCTAAAAGGAGTAAGAGTCAGCACTCATCGTCGTGAGCAGGATGGGAGTGGATGCAGACCCACGTGCGGAACCCAAACTGGATTGCCCCGAAGATGACCTGCTCAAGTTCAATGGCTGCTTGGCAGTTTAGGGTTTAGGGTTTGGCAGTACAGTAATTGCGCAAAGCAGTATATGTCAACTCACCTGTGGTACAATTGAAGAAACATGTAACTCTAAACTCCACAGAGATGTCTAGCGGCTGAATGATCGCCCACCTTCGTCCAAGGACCCTCTTGGAAGATGAGCCTTGAACCCTAAACCCTACCTGAACCCTCGAAAAGTGCGTAAAGTGATGGCCGAAAGCCTCTAACAGGCTAGTATTCGACATGCTTTTGGGGCCAAGGTAGCGACCCTAGCATGACTTAAGGAAGATTCTGTACAAGTCCAAGAGTATCAGGCCCTCTAAAAAACAATGGATGGGGCTTTGTAGGCTGTATCCTCGCAGCTTGTTCTTCGGAGTCGTCGGGGCATGTCTCCATGTGGATGGGCTCCTCTAGCGGGCAAGATCTTCGGAACATGAAATCATCTCCAGACCCTAATATAGGGGTCTACATGATTACCTATACTATTTTGGGGGTTGGTTCCTTATTATGATTATAGTGTATTGGGCCCCAAAACCCTATTCTAATTAAGGCCCCTACATTAGACCCTGAACACCAAACCCTAAACCCACATCTCTAAAGCCTGAACACCAGTGCCCGAAGCCCTGATTTTTAGAGACCATCGGAGGGACCCCTAGAAGGGACCCCTAATCCAAATACCCTATATATCCCTTATATACCCCTAAAAGAGTCTCAAAAAGCCCCTATATAACCCCAACCCAAACCCTAAACCCTAAACCCCTGATGTCAGCGGCAACCCCGGAATATCCGGCGCCAAGCGAGGCCTCTTCCAACGTTCCTTCGGCGACGACACTTGGGCGAAATGTGGGGGGGTGTAGGGGTTTAGGGTTCAGGGCTATTAGCGTCTAGGGAGATTGATTCTGAAGTTCAGACATGGACCTAGATCATGCCAAAACTAAGACGATGAAGGAAGCTCAGACCTGAACCCCTAAACCTCTAAACCCTAAATGACTTAAGCTTGAAGGGTATAGCAACTCTGCTGTTGCGTTGAGCAGGTCCTGCGTCTCAGTCTACGACATACCTAAACCCCCGAAGAAGTAGGCAACATAATCCCAAAGCCTGTATATATAAGCCTTTTTGTTTGCATACTTTTGGGGCCCTAAACCCTAAGCCCTAAACCCTAAGCTCCTAACCCCTAAACCCCTAAACCCTGAACCCTAAAACCCTAAACCCTAAAAGCTAGGTAGGAAGAACCTGGAAGCCGGTGGCATTATTATGATTATTGTTGTTATAATGAGTATTGCACTTTTCTTAGTATAGATTGTTTCCATGAGTGCTCGGGTTTTGCAGGTTGTTTTCCAAATGCTGTAGACCCGTGGCCTTGCGTCTAACTAATTCGCAAGTCCTGGAAGCGAGACGCATGCGTCCAGCCACTGACTGACAGGAGTTTGGAAACGCCATCCGTGGAGACATTGCCAAGTTAACCTCCTCCTATGCGGTGATCATCGCCTCATGGCCGAACTTGGTAGCAGAAAGAGATGGCCTGCTTTGGTGCGGTTTATGGCGCTGCTCACCTTACATGCAACGAACGGTATTCCGGTTTAGGGCACACTGTCGGAAGGGTACATACTCTCACAGCAGCTGTCACGGCAGTGGTTCTTCCCTGTCTGTCACCTTTGTTTGTGTGCACGATGAACCAACCTGGTGGCCAAGCATGCCATGCAATCAGGTGTACTGCGCCGTCACTCGGCAGGATTCAAAAGACTGGTTCGATGAGGTGACAAATTTTGCACCCGAAACCCCAATAATAAGCCGTAACAATAAATCTTAAACCCCTACACCCTAAGCGACTTTTTCACGGAACCAGAAGCCAGTAAACCCCAAACCCAGAAACCCCCAAGTAAGCCGCAACCCGGTACAGTAACTCACAGTAACCCTTGCAGTAACCGTTATTCAATGATACCAGTGCAGGACGTTGTGGAGGTCCAAGTTTTGTTGGTTTAGTCAAAGTAGATGTTTCAAACAGCAATTTCAATCAAACACTGCCATTTAGAACAACACTGAAGTTATCATTAGAATCTGTGGTATTCATGCATGCAGTGAAGTGGATTTGAAGGTGCAGCTTTCTATTTAGGCGTGCATCTATAATTACCGTTGTGGCAACCCTGATAGTGAGCCTTGTTATGAGTAACCCTTATAATAGAAGACCAGCTCCGATTCTCTTTGGCTATGTTTAGCAGGAAGGCATGCTTCCGAACACCGGAAATCCAACAGGATCTAAATGAACACCGTGCTCGATTCTCGTGCCCTGAACCCCAACTCTATAGATACAACTATCCAGATCTAGCGGTATATATGTATACAGACGCAGGCAAGCATGTTGCTCTCTCTCTCTCTCTCTGTCTTGCTTTCCGCTCCGCTTCGTGATCATTGTTACTACTGCGAAACTATGATTACCTTTCATTACGTTTGCTATTACTTATTCCTATTTGCATTGCTCCTCCAGATCATGATCGGCAAGTGTGACGCGATCCACTCTGGTGTCGCTATGTCCTTCGTGGCAGCCCCTGGCCCGAAAATATAAGGCCCAAAACAGGAGATAAGCAAGACTTAGGATAGGGATATCCCTTATAAGCCCCTTCAAAATGAAGCGGTAGGGATGTCCCTGTAAAATGCTTATGCTTATGTCCTTTTGGGCCCCCCATGCCCCTAAACCCCTAAGCCCTAACCCCTACCCCTAAACCCTTAAAGCCTTTACGCCATATTAAGTAGACTTCATCTTCCTGGTTCTCTCGAAGGGTTTTGTCTTCTGGGAGTCAGGTCTCGGGCCGAAATGATGTTTAGAGTTATGTTTGGCCTAAAGAAGTTCGAAGTATGTTTGGTGGTAAGATGTTTAAGGTTTTATTTGGCCTAAAGCTTGTTTGAGAGTTATGTGTTCGGTATACATAAGGTATAGGGTCCGGGGCTTAACAGTTGGGATCTAGCGTGGACGACGTGCAAGTTTGATGGTCATGCGTGTAGCAAAGCAAGAAATATGTGTATATATATATATATATATACAAATACACATACTTATACATATACATATGCATATACATGTAAACTCACATACATATTGGCATTTGCAAATCTACATATATATACACACACATTCATATGTGTATATATGTATATACAGATGTGTGTGTGTACATGTGTGTGTGTGTGTTTGTGCGTATACATATATATATATATACACACACACATATTCATATACATATACAGTATATGCTAGATCAGACTACCACGACTAAAAGGTGAACTTCCCCTCGATTCAGCAATGGAACATGGGCACCAGGCCATTTCAGTGCACCAGCCGCTGAGGTTGCCGGCAGAAGCCGGAGCCATGACATGTAAACATACATAGCCAGAAGTTCACGCCTACAAGGGTTTGGGGTGCAGGGTTCGCGGCTGTTGAATTCCTTCCAGACCCCAGGAATGATTATGAGCTGCTACGGGATGGTTCCGCTGAATTCCCCTCCTGCAACACCTTCCTGTCGATCACAGCAATCCTGCAATGCAATCCGAAATATTGGCCCCCAGTTTAGGGTTTAGGGTTTAGGCAAGCATGTCAGTCGTCGAGGTGCTGATTGTCGGCCTGACCATTGCCAGCACCCTTGGCCTCATGGGCTACTTCGGCGTGCCGAACGGTCACTCGGACTGATGTTGTGTTCAGCTTACCGGTTCTGGACAGTCGACCACGTGTCGGGTTCCACAGATGCTCGGTTGCCTAGGAACTTGATACTGGTAAGGGTTTCCAAGATTTGCCAGACGCATTGCAGTTCACGGGCTTCATATGGTGTCAAGAAGACTCTTTGAAGTAACCTTAACAAGAGAAGAATAGTGCCAGTACATCTCCCGGTTGTGGCGACTTGAATCATGTAAGTCATCGAAACCCGGCAGAGGGCCAACTTCTAAACCTCTAATATAAACGCCTAAATCGTGACCACTAGCATTTTGGGTTATCCGCATCCTATTCTAATTGTCAAGGCCCCTACATCACAAGGCTCACCGTTGCAAGGATGGGTTCGACGATGTGGACGCGGGGTGTCGACCACGGCAACCTGATACTATAGGGCTGCATTAGGCAATTCGGAAGTTTGTTGGGTTTTATTTGGGGGTGTAGTGTCTTCATATAGGTCCGAAAGCGATCACAACCCTGCGCGAAGGTTGCGTTTGAGTGTATCCTTCATATGCACCGTCATATTGACCCAATATCTAATCTCGTCATCTGCCCTAACCCTAGCCCGATTGACCTAACTGCCCACATTGATCCTGTCTCAGGCAACCTGAACAACAACTTGTACTTCCTCCTGCTGGGTTTGGGAGTTGACGACGCCTTCGTCCTTAGCTCTGAGTATGCCCGCCACGCGCAGGAGAACAAGGACTCGAGGGGGAGGGGGGGTGGTGGGGCGTTGAGCGGGCGTTCTACATCAGGATACGCCTCATTTTGCCTACGCCATGACCTGATTTCGGTCACCTACAAGTGACTTCCTCACAGAAGAACCAGTATTCCCGGTGGCCATGCTCCAATTTCATGGCCTCTGTCGCCCTTGCAAGAAATTTCGGACATCGGAGAACCCTGCACTCTGAAACCTCCAGCCCTAAATATAGAAGCCTGAGTAAATACAAATCCTGTTTCACCTACCAAAATAACTCCTTAGGGCTCCTTAGTATATAGCTGTACTATGCTACAGTACACTACGCAATACTAAGCTATGCTCTACTCTATACGATCTATAATGTACTCTGTATATATATATATATATAGCCCATAACCTTTTTTCTAATTTTTAAGCCGTTTGCCCCAATCGCAGGACCTGAGCATCCCCGATCGGATCGCGGCCACTGCACGCACCGGTGGGATCTCGGCGCCTTGGCCCCTTAGAAGGTGTTGGGGCCCATTGAGGGGCCTTAATAGCTAGAATAGGGTGTTGGGGCCCATGAGACAATAATTATGATAAGGAGGCAGCAAAATGGTAGTGGTAATCATTTAGGCCCTTACGTAACCAGGCGCGGGCTCAGTCTGAGGGGCTTGGGTTTAGGGTTTCGGGTTTCGGTTTAGGGTTCAGGGCTTCGGTTTAGGATTTCGGGTTTCGGTTTAGGAATTAGGGTTCAGTATTCAGGGTTTAGGGTTTCGGGTTTAGGGTATTTCAGGGTTTTAGGTTTAAGGGTTACGGTTTAGGGTCCTGAGTATATACCCAGAGAGTTTTGAGGGCTCCGTGCTATAAATGTAGTTCCCCAGAACCATATTCCAATTATTAAGGCCCCTACGTTATAGAAAGCTTATAGTAGCCCTTACAGTAACCCCTTAAAGGGACCCCATTCTAATTCTCAAGGCCCCAGAACCCTAAACCTTGGGATCGAAGGTTTCCGGGCTCAGGGTTTCGAGTTGAGGACTCCATACCGCCCCTACCTATAGTCTCCATTGTAGTTCCTTTTTGGGGATACCTTATCAAATCCTTAATATATATTTGGTTAAACCAAAAAAGGAACTACAATGGAGACTATAGGTAAACCCTTAACCCCAAACCCCTAAACCCTAAACCCTAAACCCCGCCTATGGTCCATACCCACAAGCCTTCAACTACCAAGCAGTCGAGGGAAGTCACGACGAATACGCTTCAGTTGCAGGGGCAGTGAGTTGATGCACCTCTGGGGAGCACCCTAAACCCTAAACCCTAAACCCTAAACCCGATCATCTCATGTGTGCACTGACCGGCAAAGCAAAGTCCAAGCGGTATAGAGCCAGAATCCCCAACGCATGGAGGGAGGGAGGCCCACAAAAAGAGGTGCTGGCACTGGCCCAGTTCTTCAGCGATGGCGCAGCGCACCCTAAACCCTAAACCCTAAACCCCTAAACCCTAAAGCGCGCCATCAACGGCCCTACAGGGGCAGTTCGAGGCGGACCGTGACGTTCTTTCAGATTGAGGCCATGCCATGAATGAGTCAAGGGGCCTTCATATAGTAGGTTCGGTGTAGGTTCTTAGTAGATGCTTGGGCTCCACACGATACTCGGTACTGCCCGCACTCTGTAACAGTTGGATAATCGTATTTATATAAAGGGTAGTTGTATACCACCCCTATTATGACCCCTTAACAAAAGACTTCTACAGGGTGGGGAGCAGTACCCAAACTATACTCTTCCTTGAACCTTCGTGATGAAGAGACACTGACGGCGAAGGTGTGGCGTTTTCGTGGGATCTGTCACCACAATTGCACCAGAATTTCAAGAGTTCCCCGGCCGTAAAGGCAAAGTCCCCGACCTTAAACACCTAATCTCTCAAGCCTTGTAAACCCCTAAGCCCTCAAGCCTAAGACACAAAACCCTAGACCCTACAACCCTAAAGCACTATTAGTGTAAGGGCTTAAATGATTACCAATACTATTTTGCGGGTTCCTTATTATGATTACAGATTACAGTAGAATATACCCCAAAAAATCCTGTTCTAATTACTAAGGCCCCTACATTACATTCTGAAAGCCCGAAACCCTCAGGTTCTGATCACATCTGCCACAGATGCGCTGGCCTTCCTGGTCGGCGCTACGACGGTGCTGCCGGCGCTAGGTTGGCTACTTCGCTAGACAGATGCCCTTGCTGAGTAGGTATAACCCTTAGCCTTCTAGCGAGTTATGTATTATAGAGATATAGGTATCTCCTTCTTTATGTATATATCTATATACGGAGGTCGGGGCGGGGGTGGAGGGGGGGTGAGGGTTGGTGAGGGGGGGTGTACTTTTTTCAGAGGGTGCATAAGGATCCTATGTTTGAGGGTTCTAGTTCAGAAGAAACAACGCCTTAGACAACCTAAATCTTTACATGCCCTAGTTTAAGAAGTTAGAAGAGCTTCGACGGCTGCAGACAAACCAATTATCCCTTCCGGTGTAAGCCCCTTCCCATATCCGTACGGAACTTGAGAACGATGATTAAATGCCCGTCCCCACCCATCATCACGCCGGATGATTTGTCTTGACGTCTGGAGAAGAGGAGCTTGACTATCTCGCAATATGTTTCCTCAAGCGTTAAAATGTGTGTACAAAAAATGTGTGTACAAAAAACCCCATATCAAGTCTATTGTCTTGCTCCAACTCTGCAAATCTACAACAAAACCATGCAAGCTCAATTCTTGCCGACTCAGGTTCTGCACCTACGCAGGCGGGTTGCCGGTCATGATAAGATTCAACTGTTGTGGGTTCCAGATTGGGTCTCCTACTTTCTGAAACTACGACTTTTTCGGAGGGGTTGTTTCCGACCGCCTTCGTTGGATTGGAAAAACACGTACTGCTTACAGCTGGAATATTCAAGGACTGCAGCTGCGTCATAGGGTCATATAGGGTCCTAGGGTGGCGGTAGGTAGGAGCATGGGCCCACAGTCGTGACGTTGGTTGTTACAAATTCCGAATGTTTGTGCAGTCGTTGATCACTGGGCCATGTTTCCCAATAGCGGTGTCGTCTTACAGCAGAGACGCCATGCACTCTTGTGGACTACAGCGACAAGTTACTTGTAGCGATCCATTGCGCGCAAGCCCTGGCCGAAACATGTCAGATCTCGCACATATCGAAAACCCACTTGACTTGTTGTTCTCTATCCCCGGACCACTGCACACGCACGCACACACACACAACCTCTAAATGTGACATCTATACATTGGAGGAGCAGCCTCTCGCACTCAGCCTCAAGTGTAAAACACCCGAACCCTAAATCCGCGGAAATGCAGGCGTTTCCATCGTGCTGTGCTCCTTGGCAATACGTGATGTTGCAGTGCTGCAGGACACAGCGGGAGCAATTGAGTTCAACAACTCGATAGGCAGCTTAAGCTTACACCATGGCATCTTGCTGCAGGCTATACCTATCAGCTGACCGTCTTCCTTCCCTGCTTGGCTCTGAATGCCCGCCGCGAGGGCCCCAGGCTTCTTGAGACTGTAGAGTGTCTAGGTTCCCCAGCAGAACCCTGCTACCTTTTTTTAATTTGGGGCGTCCTTATTAAAACCGAACACCCGGAAAAGGGTGCCACTAAGGCTTATTAAAACCGAATACCAGGAAAGGGGTACCACTAAGGTGTTGAGTCCAGGGTTTACTAGCCAGAAGCAGGGATTCGACGTCTGGCTGTTTACTTGGAAGCCGGTGATGTAAACGCTCATTGAATGTAGGGGCCTTAGTAATTAGAATAGGGTTTTGGGGCCCTTTCTACTATGATTCTAATAAGGAGCCCTCCAAAATAGTATTGGTAAGCATCAATAAGGCCCCCCACATCATTGGCTTCTGTACTGGGATGTCCCAATCTCGTGATTTTTGCTTCTCTGCTTGTGAACACGTTGCTGTCCGTCGGTGAACTGATATCTCCAAGTGGGTTTATGGGTTTAGCCGAAATCGCTTAACCCTTACCCTACACCGTTCAGCCGCCCGCCACACAGAATTCCTGAAGCGGTGGCTCGAAGAGGGTCCCCAAAGAATCACGGCCACATCCCAACAACTCAAGAGAAGGAGCTTGCCTTGACGGGTCTAGGACTATAGGCCCTAAACTTTTAAGATCCAAACCCTAAACCGCCAAACCCTGCACCCCT